TGAGCACTGCCACAAGGGGGCCAGCACAGGAGCTGCTCCCCGGAGCTTGTGGCAGACCGGGTTCCACCCGCCCCCGAGGGCACAGCCGGCGGCGAAGGGGCAGGGCCCCGCCTGGCCTGAGGAACGGGGGGGAGGCAGTGGGGGGCAGCCGGGCTTCCAGTCCATAGGGCTTCCCCTTCCCCTCCCTTTTTACATTAAAACAGCTGCATTTTGATCTCTGGTCTTGTGTCGATTTTGGCCCCTGCCCTGGCGCTGTGGGGCAGAGCAGCTGCAGTGGGCCCAGCCGCAAGCCCCCAGGCACGGGGGGGCGGCTGCCCTGTTAACCAGGGGAACTCACGGTGGCAGGACAGAGCCTGGTGCCCTTTCTGTGGGCTGGAGCAAAGGGCTGGACTTGCTGCCAGCCACTCCCTGACGCTAGCAGGCCCCGGACCACAGCAGCAGGTTGGACACATTTATTTGGAAGGGAACAGTGTACAGCCGGCCCCGGGCCCTGCCCCCAGCCAGAGGGGAGCGGGCGGCCCCAGGCCCAGCCTCCAGCAGTCACCGGACAGTAGCGGGGGCCCGGCCCAGCTCCTCACTGCTGGGGGATCTTGGCAGCTTCGGCTTTGATGAGGGCGATCAGGTCCTGGTTGATGAGGAAGACGAAGCGCAGGCTGGCGATCTGCAGGGGAGAGGGAGGTCAGCGCGGGCAGTGCCCGGGCCCGGCCCAGCTGAGCTCAGGGGAGCCCCCACAGTGCCACCACCAGGGGTTCCCCTGGGGCACCCAGTCAGGGGGCGTCTGAACCCATCCCCCCCACGCAGCGGGCCGGGCGCTCACCTCCACCACCGAGTTGTTGTTGAGCTTCCACTTGCTGGCACCCAGCACCGGGCGCCCGTCCACATAGATGGGGCGCCGGCCCTCGTTGGCGATGAAGAAATCCCCGTTGTTCTTCAGCTTGATGACGCCTGCAAGGCGCAGCGGGGGAGCGGTGAGGGGGGCACAGAGACCCCACCCACAGCCCAGCTACCAGGCAGAGCGTCGCCCCTATCCCACACCCAGGGACTGGAGCACTGGGCAGCGCCCCCCTCGCCCCACACCCCAGCAGTGCCAGCCTGGAGCCCACACCCAGCGGCCCCGGGGTTAGCCCCGCCCCTCCATGGAGAGATCTATGAACCCCACCCCCCGATGGGCGTGTCAGCCCCGCCCCTGTACCTTGCTTGCGGGAGATTTTCCAGGCAGGGCCCTCCAGCGCCAAGTCCACGTCGATCTGATTGTCCTTCGTGGCTCTGCCCAGTGTGATCTGGAAGGGGGGGGCTGTTAGTGAGGTGCCCCCCACGTGCTCCCCCAGGGTGGCTCTAAGCACCAGCCAGCCCAGCCCCCAGGGAGTCCCCTCTGCTCCACCCACAAGCGCAGCCCCTCCCTGTGTGT